CTCCCCCCCCCCACCCCCGCTGCCTCCTTCTAATATTCCGTCCAAACGCCAAAATGACACAATCATAAACATACCCACACCTGCACGACATTGAAGAGGAGCGGATACCGCTTCAGCCAGTCCGTGTAGCGGATGGCCGCCAGGTCGGCCGCGAAGAGTCCCGCCGCTCCCACGAGAGCGACGGCCGGCTTGACCTGGACGTCCGCCTGCTCGAAGGCTGCCTTGGTCACCTTGAAGTCGGCCTGTCGGCACGACTCGCTCACCGTCGCGTCCAAGAACTGAACCAAGTGGTGGCAATTGCGTCGTAGTCATGGTCGCATTAGTCGTCCAAGTCATTGTTTGTTTTTGGTTGTTGTTGCAGGCGGTTGTTGTCGTCGGGCGCCACCGTCATCACCGTTGTCGATAGTTGATTGTCGATAGTTGATTGTCGATAGTTGATTGTCGATAGTTGATTGTCGATAGTTGATTGTCGATAGTTGATTGTCGATAGTTGATTGTCGATTGTTGATTGTCCATAGTTGATTGTCGATTGTCGATAGTTGTTGTTGTTGTTGTTAGTAGTGGAGGTGGAGATGGAGACGGGAGATTGAGGCACCGAGCGAAATAACGAGGAAAGCACTCATGTCAGCAAAATAAGACAGGCATGTAGATAAGGACAACAACAAGCTTCCAAGCTCGCCGCATATATAGCAGCAACAGATACAGAAAACGAAACAGAAGACTGCCTGTGGTAGTACCTCGAACGGGTAGTCTTTCGTCTTTTCTATAACTGCTGTACATGTATTTTCTAGAAAAATTCCATTCTCTCAATCGACAGAGTCAATGTGGGCCCCCCACTCTTCAAAGGAAACAGACCATGGTACTTTGTTTTTCGGAGTTTGCTGCCCACAACAACATCAACATGCGCCACCAGCACTCGCCTGGTACTTGTACTGGCAGAGGCTCGCCGGCTCGCACCGCTTCTCCTTCCACGACCAGCTGCACAGCGCGTTGCCCGTCTTGGGCCGCTTCTTGAACAGGGGCTTGAAGAACCCGCTGCTACCGCCACCCGCGCTCTTGGAACTCCCCACGTCAGCTGCCACATCCTCCTCGAGCTCTGCTACCTCGTCCTCCGCCTCTTCGAAAACGGCATCATCGTCAGGGACGTCCTCACCCCCGGCATCGTCACCCGTAGCGGCCTCTGCGGCAGCGGCGCTGTCTTCCCCCTCCTGTTGTTGTTACACCGTCGCCGGATGATGGATGGATGGATGGATGGATGGATGGATGATGTTGACGAGGGTCGTGCGTGCGAGGAGGCCGTGAGAACGATAGCGAGAGGAAGAGAGGGCAGCGGCAGGATCGAGTCAGAGAGGAGCATCCGAGGCAGAGACGCGAAGATGATGACAACGAGCTGGGCCGCCGCGTTTGAGATGGGGTCATGAGGGGAGGTTGTGAAACGCACTTACAAGATGATAGGAGAGGCACGAGAGAGATGAGAGGGCGTGTTTTTTGGGCGTGGCAACGGCGATGGCGGCATCCGTTCAGCAGCCCGCCTAAACTCACGGCGTTTGCCATCCATGCGGGCGGCGGTACGCAAACATGCCAAACACGGAAACAAACAAAGGGGTTGGCGTAGTCGTACTAGTGCAGCGGACTAATCACACACACTCTACAAAAACAACATAATTATACAATTATCGCCCAATTATTGCGTCGCCGTCCCCGAGAAGAGATTCGCTGGAAACATCCATCGCAGCGCGCACGCATTCCAGCAGCAACGTCGTTGTCGTTGTTGTCGTCATTCTCTGCGCAACAATAAACTTTTCCCGTCATCTCAAACGCCTACTGTACCACTACCTCCCTGGCACTCCTACCGATACTCAACACACGCCAATTGCACCCTGCCGTTGGCGCACAGCAGAAAATAAGTTTCTTACGAAAAAATACCAGGCAGGGGGGAAAGAAAACTTGCTTAGACAAACTTGCGTAGACTACTGCGTTGACTGGGCCACTGAGTGAGTGCGAGAACCTGGGTGCGAGGAAAGCTCTGTTGGTCCATCTCTCATTGGCGTCTGAGGTTTTATGTTGGGGGGGCGTACTCTCATGTTTTGAATGCCTTAGCGGTTAGACCATTGTCCACGCGCCCACGAGCCCGCAGAGGACGGAGCATTGCTCTCACAGGACCGGTCACCAATGGCCAATCGTTGGGAGGCGGTGTAATAATGTAAACGCACACCGTAGTCGTTAGACCATTGACGTCGTATCCCTACAATGCCCGGACGGAGCGATATCGCTCGTTTGTTCCGACCCTTACTGGCGTCAGAGTGCGGGGGGGGGGTACTCACGCAAACGCATGCCGTAGTCGCTATTTAGACCATTGACCTCGCATCCCTACAATGCCGGGACGGAGCGATACATCGAGGGGGGTCATCACAAGCTTCCACACCCTGTACAACTACACCTGCAACTTCAGCTTGAAGATCCTGCTGCTAACGCCGCCAGACGAGACTATCTATTGTTTGAGGAACCAGTGTGGTGCAACTACTAAGGGGGTGCAGAAGACGAATTTTGATGTTGACTAATTTTGAAAACAAACGCAAGAGCACCAGAAATTGCACAACAGACACACCAGACCAGTAGGAAGGCACTGTGAAAAATTGCAATCGTTGATTCCCGCACAGGGCGGCAGTAGAGGCTGCTCAAAACATACATTTCACGCGTCTACCTCCACACGCCTCCTTTGAAATCAAGATAAAAATTCGCACTATTCTAAATTCAAGTCAAATGAGCCAAATCGGAAGGCGGTCAAACAAGGTCAATTTTGAGTGTTAGGTGTCGCATTCTATTGTCATCAGTAGAGGACTTCATGAAGAGGCGTCGTGCGTGCTGGCACGTTCAGGTTTGCTACTGGAGCTGAAATATCGAAGGTCACAACAGCCTCCGAAAACAGTCCGAAATCTGCGACGAAACCAAGCGGCATCGACAGCGTGCACGCCGCCACTGACCCCAATCTCCTGAACTGCGGATTACAGCAGTAGCTGATGCCACTATGTAGCTACTGCTGACGCCTCCGTTCAGGGGTTTACGGTCCGTAGCGGTGAGCACGGCTGTGACAAACGTTGGACGCCGTTCGGTTCCGGCGCAGATTTCGGACTGTTTTCAGAGGCTGCTGCGACCTTCGATATTTCAGCTCCAGTAGCAAATCTGAACGTGCCAGCACGCACGACGCCTCTTCATGGTGTCCTCTACTGATGACAATAGAATGCGACACCTAGCACTGGCGGGGAGGTTGTTTTCTTTCTTTGTTAGGATTAAAGTATGAGGAAAAGAGCCAGCGTCACTACCCCTTTTCTGCGCCCCCTTAACAGTGATCAGCGGACATCTATCGGACATCTATCGGGTAGATGCTGGCGTGCACAAAGTGGTCGTTACTCAGCAGGATGGTTGTAATTATGTACGGGGTGTGCAGGCTTCTCTTGTGGTCTTATAAAACGCTTTTTCTCGTGTTGCACATCATTGATGTCAATTAGGCCCGGCATCCGGGGCTCCAGAGTTAGTTGCAAGTGGTTTGTTGTTCCAGCGGGAAGAGTCATACCAACATGGTACAGCATATTTGGGCTTTGTGTGCAATCAGGTTGCAATGTATGCATATGTATGCAGAGTCCGGGCGGAAGAGGAACAGCAAGAGCTGGCGCCCCCGGGCACTTTGTGCCCCCGGCCAAGGTGCATTGATTTCTTCGTCTTTTCTTCTGTCGCCCAACTCTCTTGTAAAGAGCTTGCTTTTAAGTACACAATCTTTGACAAGTGTGGTCTTCACGTTTTCACGTTTTCGGTGCATAGGTTTGTACAAATTCAAATTGAGCCCAGTTTCCAGCCGGTTTCCCCCCACTCACTGAAAAGACTTCAGCACACCCCTTGAACTGCTGTGGTTATATCTCGAACGGGTACAATAGTAGGGTGGTACTTTCCTAGAAACTCTTCGGGGGATTCACAGGGTAAATGTACTCGATCTTGAATATGGGGACTTGAATACAATCAATAACAGGTCGCTGAAGCATCTTCACCAGGAGACATGTCACACAGCACGATTCCAAAACATGCGCCCCGAAGCTTCAATGCACGCATTACGCATGCACATGCGAGGATTGGTTGGCACGTTGCAGTTTGGGTCGCAAGCCGGATTGCTTCCGAACCACCCACGCGTCATTTCCCCCAACGAACAAAATACTTTTTTTGAACTGCGACCAAACGGTACTTAGCATCAAGACTGCTAACTGATGATGCTGTTCGACAGCAGTCGGTACCAAAGACAGGAGTAAAACAAAAGCAACTGCAGCATGCAAAGGGAGACAAAAGCGGGAGGTGGGGGGCCTGCAGCAACCAGCAAACACCGCAACCCTGCTGAAATGCGGCGTGCTTGCTGCAGACCGCGCTGCGCCCAAAACGCTCATACGACTCTCTCTCTGTCTCTCTCTCTCTCTTTCTCTCGCTCGCTCCTTGGTTGTCTGTTCGAGTACAAAATGGTACATTGTAGAGGTGGATACAGCGGGACGTCAAGGCTTGCACTGGCGGATTTCAGCTGCTTTGTGCTCTCCCCACATAATGGCGCCTGTCGCAGCCAAATAGCTGAGCAGGCGGGGGCGAAATCACTTCATGAAAGCATCATCGCAGCAGCGATACGTGTCACATCAATCACCTCACCTCAATTACCTCGGCGTCAACTAGAGTATCGAGCAACTCGTCCAAGTCTATTTGCTCCGCCTCCGCCACGCCGCCCTCCTGTCCGGACACCGACTGCAGCGGAGCCACAGCAAGGAAGAAGCACGCCAACACCAGCACACGTCGAGCCATCATCTTTACCCCAGTACGCAAACCCGGACAAATGCTGGCTATCCGAGTGCTCTCAAAATCGGGGGCCGGCGACAAGGATCCAATGACTTTCACACCACCCCTTACCCGGTCGTTCTGCATCCCGCTGTGGCGGGGCGCGCACGCATGCGGGCCATCTCCCAAAGGATTCAATGCCCCGGTCGTGCCGAACATGCTCCTGCACGATACCAACAGTAGTTGATTCCCCGACCTTCCACCCCGGCGCTTCCTTGGTATGCCTTGCCGTATTACTGCTGTGGATCGGGGGTGCGTACGCCTTCTCAGCAGCGGCGGCGGCCGGGCCTGCTGCTGCCACCACCGAGTTTTTCCAACATACACTCGTCGAGAGCACCGACCAGCTGGATAAACTACAACAACCACGCCACCACGGCAATGAATGCTCCGGACCCGTGCCTCCCCCCCACCTGTTCCGCATCCCCGCGCCGGGAGGAGACGTCTGCCTGGTCGTGGACGAAAAAAAAAACTACTATGCGATGAGAGACTGCTTTCCCCCTTTCGGCGTACCTGTGTCGCAGACAGGCGTGGTGGATTCCCAGGTAGGTACATGTCGGAACATGCATAGTGGATTCGCAGGTACATGCATAGGTACGGAGGTAGATGCGTGCTCCGACCCTCGCCATTGGTGCTCAATATGTTACCGTGGAATAATCGATGATGCGCCAATTGGTTTCGGCGACAATGGCCCACAGCACGGCGACTGAGACGATCAAATACACCCGAAGAAAGTGCTTCGAGCGGGGGGGATATGCGAACCAGCCGCACTCTCCCGCTCGCTTCCGTCATGTTTTACCGGGGCCGGTGCCGGGCGATCCACGCATCTGCTTCGTCCTTGTGCGCAGCAGAACCCTGACCGGCGCTTGATAGTGATGAACAGCAGTAAGTAGCTGCTCCGGCTCTAGTTTGGCGGCTTGCGCAGGACTCCCGAATGTACATACCAACGACGATGAAAGGCGCCTGCAGTGGTCTACACGTTGGGGATACATGCACATGTTGTGTTACTCGTGTGTGTGTACAGCTGTACTACAATGTTTACCTGCCCGTCCGAGCTTCCTGTCGGTCACGGTGCAGTTCTTGAATAAATG